CATCATACGAAAAGGATTCATATGATTATCATTTGAAGACAAGATAATTTTTCTTCTCTAGAAATTAATACCGGTATAAAGCTTTTTCTTTGAGTTCCCATTTATATTTTGTGAATTAATGCACGATATATGAAGATACTGAAGATAAAATGAAACAGTTATCAAACCAATTAGTCCATTGAAACAATACAAATCAGGAGCAAAGCAAACACGGACTTCTTAAAACTTCAGAGGTGGAGTAGGCATCGATCCTTTTGAACGATCACACCCACCGTGTGCTACAGACACCCCTACTAATGTTATTGTGATTTAAATTCAAGACACGTGGTTTAGGTTGATCTATTCAAAGGTTATAGGGTAGAACCGGTTTTATAAATAAAATTGGCAGTAAACAGGATATTGCTATAGCCTGTTTCTTTTGAAAACATGTCCTGTAATAAATGTTTTCAGACCTTTCTGAAAGACTGTCATGATTTTCAACAGAAAGGGGGTGGCTAAAGGAGGGGGTGTTAAAATAACAATATATCTTATACTAAGAGCTCACTAGTGACCGATTCGCTGGTAAAAATGTGTTTTATCATCTACACTGACAAACCTTAAGTTTGTTTGCCTTATATGGCTATTGTTATAAATGCGCACAGAGGATCTTACCACGAGCAACTGACCAATCGTTGGAATGAATAGCAACGTTTACGCCAAATACATGTTTACATTTTACTTCGAACACGTGGTTCAGGTCAATCTATGAACATGTCAATGGAATACAAAATAATAATAATAAAATGTTCTTAAGAACAAAATACAAACATAAGAAACTATTAAACTAAGATGTTACGGGCGTTTTTAATTTATTGTTTACTGGAAAAAATGTTTAATAGAATGTAGTCTGTGTCTAGTTCAGAACACTAGCGCTTCAAAGGTAAGGAAAACGGGCAGCATCTAAAATGCATAAATGGACAAAACTTTGTTTACGTTCGTGTTCATGTGTTTGGCCAGGGAATCCACCTGGCAATTGTATTCACCGATAGTACAACAAAGGAATTAATACAGACGCAAATCGCTTTCGCAGTATGACTTTCAGAAACCTAGACTTCACCGTTTATTGAACAAATGAATTGTTTGTCATTATGAGCATGAAAATAATATTTTTAAAAATGCTTTTCCTTTACAATAAGATAAGATTTTCCCTTTTTTTCAAGCGTAAAATTCCTGTAGTATTCGTAGTGACCCATAATGCAATACTCATTCAGCTGACTGGTCACTTAAAATCATGCTGGTGCCTCATTTGCTAACCTGACGCCAAAAAAATATAGTCCCGGTTCCCATGCAAAAATATTTTTCCAAAAAGAAATTTTAATTCATGACTTCAGAAAATTGCATTATAGAGAATACTTATTTAAGTTTGAATGAATGTAAGAGAGATCGATTGATTGAAGTACATTTCTACAGACATTATCAGCTGATTCTAGGGTAGTAAAAACTGAAACGCAACATAACTTTTCTGTTTACCATGTCTTCACGTGCTAGTCACTTCCTAGCCACATTTCCGTGAATAATTTACCCTATCTCGCTGAAGTCTCGCTAACTCTCGCCAGAGCCACTGCCAGAGCTACTCTGAACTCATCGGGTCTTATAATTTGCAGAACACCGAAAAATAAAAGGCTCCGAACACATTAGTAGGTGTGACAGAATTGTTTGTTAAAAACCTGTCCTGATTTCGAAATTGTTCATACGTGGAGCATGCTCTTGTGTATCAATTCAACTCAGATACATAAATCCGATATATGGTATTGTAAAGTATTATTGTAAAGTATCATTAGTACAGTATTATTTTCTTATTTTGTTGACAAGACATTGTAAATACACGTAAAGAACTTGTTACGAAGTGAACCGTAAAGAGATCTATTCATTCATAACATCCTATTAAAGTATTATGGTGAAACAAAATAACAGTGTTTAATTTGTTGCATTATAAATATTGATAAAGAAATGTTAGTAGAAAGAATAAGGAAGAAAGATTTTTTTTGAAGATTTAATCTAGAAATTTTCATGCCATCTGTAGGAGCGTATCTGTTTTAAAGAAATTTTTAACGTGAACAACAGTCGTATGAATAATAAGCTTTATCATTTTTAAGTTTCAAAACTAAAAGCCGTTTTGTTATATTTCAAAACATGGAAAAGAACTGAATCTAGACTAAAACTTTGTAAAAAAAACATTTTTAGCTTCAGTTGCTTTTATTGCCCGCTTGAACTGCATGACAAAAGAATACAAAAAAAAATTAAAATTTGGGATGCATTCGTGTATTGTATACATAACAAAAATTCTTTGTAGTTTATTCCAGGAAACTGAGTCCGTATATTTGGATAATATTTTACATTAATGTACGAGGGCTGTTCAATAAATAATGTCCTGAACTATATAACATACATTACAAATATCATATGACAATAAACTTGACTTTCTCTCATTATTGAATCTTTCATAAAGTTATAACAGTTTATGTGACCACTTTTCATCACATAGTTTCATCGTGAGAAGCTGGGGAACAAGGGCTTTTCGAGACACTGCATTATAAATGAATGGAAAAAAATTAGTAAACTAGAGTGAAAATAAAAGCTTCATTGTAGCTGCTGTAAAACTTGTTAAAAATCTCAAAGATATATTCACTGAAATATATGACATTTACAGCAACCAATGCCTGTTTTATAGACAAAAGAGCAGGTGGATTTCAATGATAAAAAATTATATAATGGGCATCAAAAGTGGGTACCCTCCTTGCCAACAAAAATTATAACAACTTATGTACTGGTAGCCATATTACAACAAATAATATTTGATGATGTATGCTTGACTTTAAGACACATGGTAAATTTGATAGACATCATATCGGGAGTAGTTTACACTGTTTTTAAGAAACGTTTGACGGTAAAAAAAAGCTTAGTACTCAAAGGTCACCCTATATTCTGAAAAATGAGTGAAAATGACAGTGTATACGAAATTCTTAACAATTATTTTAAAATATCAGTAATTCTAGTTATCCACGTTTGTTTTATTTTCAAACAGATATTGGAACATGAATCTATTGATTAAAACCCTCAAAACAAAATTTACCATAAGATGTACTTGATAAAAACGGCGAATGTCTGACAAGAGCACAGGTATTCAAGAGCACAAAGACATATTTATATGTAATTTTCTAAAAAAATTAGTGGTATTGTTGTTCAAATTCGTATTTGGAGAGACAGTTTAATTTCTGGAGGAGTCTAGAAAGCAATTCTTTTGCAAAAAAATCAAAAGGTTTGTTAGAGGAAGGACCCAGAATCAGGAATCCACTACATTGAATTTCTTCAAGACAGCGTCCAAACCCACATGCCCTGAAGAGTCAAGGGGTTTTCGGGATAAACAGAAAGTTAATGTTTTTTCACATTAACAATATTCGCCAGATCTTTGACCTTTTGACTTGTTTCTATTTCCAAACTTGAAAAAAACACCTTTCAGAGGGAGGAAACAAGTCCGGGAAATCATTGGATATGCCATTTTCCAGTATACTAAGGGTCATACCCAAAAATGAGTCCTAAAAACAATCAGAAATTGGAAAAAAAATGTTACGGACATGCACTTTACTTAAAAGAGATTAATTAGCAAAATCATGAAAACTAAATTATTGAAAAGCGTCTTTTGCTTCTTTCTAAGCACCGAGGACATTATTTATTGAACAGCCCTCGTAACCCTGAACAGCTTATTTACATCGTATAGTAAACATGAAATAGATTTTTCCTTGTTATAGCTTATACCCAGACCTGGGGTCCATTACTTTGAAAAGTAATGCATCAAATTACAATTACTTTTGAACTTTACCATTACAATTACCATTACTCTTCCGAAAAGTAATTAATTATATTACAATTACTTTGTTAAAATAATGAATTACATTACACATCACATTTTATTAGAGAAAAATACAAATAAGACCATATCATCCAATTTATCTATAAATTATCTTTCTCACACTTTGTGCTCGGTCAATGTGCTTTCCTTCGGGTCTATAAATCAGAGTGGTACTTAGTATTCATGTTCATGTAATTTATCAGTCTACAGTGGATAAAGAGCGTGAATAAGAACACTTTCAGTGTTGTAGTTCTGTTTCGACTCTCGTGTTCCTCTGTTCCTCTGTTGTTTTTTTTTTAATAATAAACATCTCATACCACATGTATATGTTTTATGTAAAGTGATTATTCAATTAATTGTTAATTCTAAAAATGTAAAACATATATATATTAATAATTCAATGAATTAGCACTTGTAATTATCTGGTCAGGCTTAATCAAGATATAGATTTAACACAATATATAAATACCGCTACCTTATGCTTTGAAGTTAGAGGAGATTCATAAACTACCAAAAATGAATTATCAACAATATCAGCATTAATATTTGGTCTTAAGTTTCCTTTTAAAGTAGATCATACTGATCTTTTATCTTGCTGACCAAGTCCATTTCACAAGAATGAACTTTTTGAAAAGAAAAAATCAAGTTGGTGTCTTACTTGGAAGTCACAGTTTATTAAATAAATACAAACATGTTTGAGTGTCACTTGTCTGTGGATATCTTTGAAACATAATGATTCCTATTAATATTTTTCTTTTTGTCTCTCGTCTCTTGATTTTATAACTGTCTCGTCAAGAATGTTTTAAAAAAAATTATTAATTATGTCTATAATCAGCATTGAATAAACATTTTAAAAAGCATAATATAAGATATTAATTTTAAAACTTCAACAATTAAAAAACTGATAGATACCTTGATTAATTCATTATCTCAGGCATAAAAATAAAAAGAGGTTTGAATACAAATTGTAATTGATATCTAATTGAAAAGTAATGGTCATTACTGACATTTTTTGGAAAGTAATGCATTACATTACAATTAATTGTAATTGCAAGGTGGATCCATTACACATTACACCCCATTACTTTGAAAAAATGAAATGATTACAAATATTTCATTTACAGTTATTTAAGAAGTTCCAGCTTTTCTTCACAACTTGATGTCGAAATTGTCGAATATCACATTCAATATGTTAATTGTTCATACCTTTTACGTTTCCTTTGAACAATAACAGCCACAATGACTAAAAGTAGAAGTCCCCCTAATGCTGCTCCTGTGGAAATTAAAAGAACGTAAGTCTCTTCCTCTTCCCCACATTCCACTTCCGCTACATAAAGAAATCAATTGTGAGATTTAAGACGATGGAAAAGTTAAGCTCATCTCCTTTGTAATAAAGCTTGGTTGGTAGCTAAAAATATCCACATAAATCAAAGATACTAGGCATTTATGTGTTCTTTTTGTATATGAAACAAGATGTATTTTTTTTATTGTTATAACAGGTTCACACGTACATGTATGATAATTTTCATCTTTTGGTACACTATTACATTCGATCTACACACAATGCATAATTATACTTATAGAATGTGAAAGATGTATTTGCAACACACTGATGCCCCCATATGACAGCTTATAAGAAAGGATAAAGTTTCCCAAATGCAAGTCAAACTCCAAGGTCAAATGATAAAAATTGTTGTTACCGAAAAAGTCTTGTAATGACGAATATATCTGTCCAAATGAAATCCCAAGAACCGACTGCTTAAAAGTTATGGCTTAAATTATTTTTGAAAGTGGGTCCATCTCCAAGTCAAGGTTAAAGAATAAAAAATAATCGTACACTGGGAAAAGCCATATCACAAAAATCCCACATATGAAATATGAAGCTTCAGTACCAAATGTTTAAAAGTTTATGTATGGTCAAGATTAATTTTTTTTCAAAAGTAGGTCAAACCCTATGGGCTAAGTCAAAAGGTAAAAATTATCGCATGGCACACAAAGGAAAGTCTTGTCATTATGAAGAAACATGTGTAATGTAAAAACCTTAATAAATACGAACTGTTTAGAGGTTATGACCAACGTTGGGTTTTTTGGAAAAATGTGTGAAACTTCAAGATCAAATATATTTGTTCACAAAAGTCTTGTCAAAAGGAATGCACTTGTGAAATAATGCAATAGCTCCATTACAACAAAAAAAATATAGGCAAGGTTTAAGTTTTTGCGTACAAAGAGTTAGTAGGACGAACAGACGGACGGGCCAAAAAATTATATAACCCCGAATCTAAGATTTAAAAAAAAAACCAAAGTTATGTAAATATAACCTACCACTGAAAGCAGTTGTATATTCATTTTTAAAAGCCTGAAATTGAAGTTCCTTGGTAATCATAGATAAACCATTCTGAATGTTGAAAGTAGATTCTTTATTGCACATGTAGCTTTTATCTTCATCTGTTGGCAGTAATCTACGATTGGTAGCGAAAGCTTCTGTATTTTTACCGACAACTGCAAAAAGAAGTGAAATCTTCAAAGACCCTGATTAAAAAAGATTTTTTAAATAATTGTCAGAGACGCAAGTCTTGACCAATTTCTTTGAAATTTGTCTCATTTAATATTTGAGTAAATAGAATTTTTAGCAACAAATAATTTCAGTTAAAAGTTTAAAAGTTTATATGGCATGTAAAACGTTGCATTATTCAATGTCTGTGCTAATTATATGCAATATCTTGTGATGTATGTTCAAAATCTTATGATATATAATTATGCAATAGTTTGTGATATACATGTATATGCTAAAACATGTGATATATAATGCAAAATCGTGTAATTTGTTTTCAAAATTTTGTGACGTATGTACAGTATCTTGTCATGCATATTCAAAATATTGTGATGAATATTCAATAATCTTATGATGTATGTTAAATAATCTTGTGATGTATGTGCAATAACTGCATTGTGGGCAATATTCGACTTTTGTAAGAACTTTTTTTATTGGTCTCCAAAGTGAAAATATGAATCAGTTTAAAACCAAATACTAGACTAAGTACTCACTGCTGTCTACAGCATCTGTGAACAGGTTGTTATCAAAATCGTATAGCAATTGAATCTGTGAGATGTGGTACTTTGTAACTCTGTACGTGTATCCTCTCCAAAATTCACTTTGCTGTACATCAGAAGTGAAGAACATAGACATTTCCCAGGTATTGTAAAAGTTTATTACCATTTTCTGAGAATAATAGCCATTTAGTGTTGTGTTGCAGTCACCACTCAGCGTGTAATTTTTTGGTAGAGAAATCTGTTTAGTTACAACCTACGAAAAAGCAAGATGATCTGCATATTCGAGAATTTTATTACGATTTTAAGGATGACGTTTACTGAGGTTTCAGAAAACAGAAAGGAAATTTATAAAGTATAAGATGTTAAATCAAAAATTGTTCTAAATGGATAAAACAACCAAGTTTTAACTCAATATCAATTTAAAAAATTAATATTTTATCATTCAAAGAGAATAAACAGGGAAAAAAAATGAATGTATGGTAATGCAAAGGAAATTCGGACTAAATTTTGAATTTTTCATTTTAGTAAAAAATTATTACAATGTATTTCTTACAATATTAATTACAATATAAAGGTAACATGTATTTTTAAGCATCATTTTGCAAATATTATTATTATTTGTTAAAGTTCATAAATTATTTCAAATAATTGAGTGCTATAAAATAAAGAAATCAAAAGATATTACGAACAAAAAGCATTCCAGACAACATATCTCAATAATTTGATGATTGACCCCATATTATATCAATACCATTAGAATAAGGGCAAGAAAAGCAACCTGAGGTTGTAAATAATTTAGAGTTCTTATACCCAAAAATCAGTTATAAAAATTCACGTTAGAATAGTTACGTTTTCATTGTTGAGCTTAATATTCTTGTAAAAAATTTCAGTCAATAAAAGTCGCCGATGGTGTACAATGACCAGGGTTAAAATGTGTTAAACTTTTAAATAAAGTCTTTCAATTTAAATGATTATATATTTTCATTCCACCTGGGCACCTGATGTTTTGCTTTTTTTGCTCTACTCCTATATATATTTTAAATTGTTTGTTTATTTTTTCCCGTGATGCATTGTAATAAATTTAGCGCCGTCAAACTGGGCTGTGCAAACTGTGTGTATACGAAGTGTTTATATTGATTGATCACAGAGGCGAGAGCGTTTGATCTAGACTCGCGAAGTAAGGAGTTGTTCCTTACGTCGCGGGTTCGAATCCCACTGTGGGACGTGGAGACCAGTCCTTCGGATGAGACCGTATAAACCGAGATCCCGGGTCGCAGGGTGCTGACACGAGAAAGATCCCTACCTGTTCAATGACCTTGAGTGCCGAGTATAGGACACAATTTGCAGATCCCACCGACAAGTGGTGGAGTCTTTATATGTATAAAAAAATCTTGAGAGGGGCGTTAAACAATGTATACAATGTATTGATTGATTGATTGTATACATGTATATGTTTTTTATGGGGCATACTGATATTATTATTACTTTTACTTTTTCTCCATAAAAATATAAGGTCCTGCAATCTGTAATTTTCTGAAACCTAATACTTTTAGAAAATGAACAAAATTTACGTCATGCAAATCTCCTACATTTGTCAAAAATTATTCAACGTTTGTCAATTTTCTCCTTTGTGCGTCAGGGTGTCTCTTTGAATATTAATAAGGCATTTGTCAACGAACTTCTTAGAAAACCCTCGTAATTGCAAAGTGATTATTTTTCAAATATAAATTAAAAAAGAATATTTATCGTGAGGCAGTTTCTTTTTGAATTGAGAAAGATTGTATTTGCATTCTTGAGCTACATTGATGAGGAAATGAGGAAAGAAATAATTTTTTATTCACAAAAAAAAAACAAAAAAAAAACCAAAAAAAAACAGTAGTCCCTCTGAATACATCTTAATGGCTGATATTTACCCCATTATTTGACAGGTATGGGATATTGAACTTAATTTTAGCTTTGAAAACGATGCAAGTGATATTATCACGTTTTATTGCAAACACGTGCATCGGAGGGTTCTCGGGGTCTGGAATAGGTCCTAGGTCTTCCTTACAGTCATATCCTGCAAAGACAGATAAAGAAAATCAAAAGAACACTATATGATCAGGTATAGGCGTTAATATAACTCTTTTAAAGAAGGTACACTGTAGTTGTTGCTTTTTTAATAGCTCGCCCTAACGGCATCTCGTCGTTAAGTTGAGAATAGGTGCTAATTGGAAGAAAAAAGCATCCTCTGAAAATCTGTCACGCCATGAGCCCTCCCTCTAGATATATCCCTCCTTATAGTTCAGATAGACGGTAAATTCGCCATTGTATAAGATCATTGTATACTACTGACAAATACCTTATAGACTCCTGTTTTCGGTTTTCTAATTGATGGAATGCCATTATTTATGGCATATTGTTTCAAAATTGAACGCTTTTTCATATTTCATACAAAGTAATGACAAAAGTTAATTTTGTTGAAAAATAAGGTAAAGGTCAAGATATTCCAAGGGTTAAAAAAATCATAGCATCCTCGGAAACATCTTGCTGCAAGTAATGTACATGTCAAATGTGATAGCCCTATCTCTTCTCAATCAAAAGTAAAAAGAAAAAATAACGTTTTTGACACGTAGGTAAATCTTTAAGGTCAGGGTAAAAAAGTTCATAATATATTTTGAAAGACCGTGTTACAGGTTAAATACTTGTTTGATACATGTATAAAAGCCCTATTTTTCTCCTTTCTAAAAGAAATGGCAAATTTAAAGTAATATGAAAATTACGTCAAACTGCAAGGTCAAGGCCATGAGTTTGAATTATAGTATATAAAGAAGGACAGGTAATGTACCTGTGAAATATGAAAGTCCCATCTCTTCTTATTCAAAAGTTAAGACCAAGGACAATGTTTTTGTGACAGAGGGATGGAATGACAGACGAACGAATGAGATTCAATGTCCCCTCATTTTTTACAAAGTTAGTAGGAGAGAAAATTTACCATTTTCCGAAAACCTTCCATCCTCCACATTAAAGGCCTGTACTTTAAACTCCTTGAACATAAAGACCAGAACCTCACTATCATCTGAGAAGGATCCCCCTTTTTCACACTTGTAAAACAACTTGGGACTTGACAACTCTACTGGATTACCACTCACTGTGTGATTTAACTCAGCTGAAATAAGATAATATTAAAACAATGAAAAACAAGAAAACATTGATGCAACCATCAATTGTCGCCCGGGAAATAAATCAAGTAAATAATGGAAATGATTCTTGATCATCAAACCGCTTCGATATGTGTGAAAAAGGCATGCGTCTAAATGATGGAGACGATAGTCGAGAATATTTTGAACACTTATAGTCGGATAAAAATCGAACAAAAACGACACCCTTTTAAACTTTATCAATTCCCCAAGTAAATGTTGGCTGCATAAATACTAGTATATATTGAAACCAGACACATCTATTGTCTAGATATTAAAAATGTAGTTCACTTTAAGAATATAAAACACGAACTGTGTAGAGTACGTTTTTATGCGACATGTAAAATTCGATGTTCTAAAAAAAGGGACCTGTCGTTTTTTTTATAGTAAATGATAAGCAACTTTTTATATTGAATATGAAAAACATGTATATTTTACAGATTCACTTCATGGAAGATAGATATATCATGTATCTCGTAATTTATAAAGGCGAAGAACATTGTGATTAACAATCTTTTTAATGTTTAGAAAGCCTTTAATTCTGAATAACTTCTCCCAGCTTAATCTCCATACACCAACACTTAAACTTATATGTATAGAGCAGATCGGTCCTCCGGGCTGCAATCATAATACACTTTCCTATCTATGTTCAGTCGTATCAATCATGAAATGCACAAATAAGAAATAAACATATACACTAATTACTTATAGACTGATAAAGGATGATGTGACATACAGACCCAGCTGTAAATTGACAAATAAAATTATGTCCAAAACTATTATTTTTGCATGCAACTAATCACTGATATGTATACATTATTATTTTAACTAAAATATAAACGCATTTTGAAAGACATAGATCTTTCATGTGGGTTGGGGTACCATGTTATAAAGACCTATATACCTTTTAGGCCTATATATTAATGAGGTGAAAAGCTACTTTTTCTTTAAAAATGCTTATGCAAAATATCTTCTTTTATCCTTCGACCGGTCACGGTAGCCTAGTGGTAGAGCGTTCGCTTCGTGATCGGGAGGCCCGGGTTCGATTCTCGATCGCGGCGCCGCGTCATACCTAAGACGTAAACAAAGGTAGTGACTGTTCCTTCGCCAAGCGCTCGGCACTAGCAGTGAAAGTCACGGGTCTTTCGGATATGACCTTAAAAACGTAGGTCCCGTGTCACGGTAGGCGTTGGCACGATAAAGAACCCTCACTGCTCAATGGCCCTGAGTGCCGAGTATAGGTCTAAATTTGAAGCCCTTCACCGGCATCGGTGACGTCTCCATATGAGTGAAAAATTCTCAAGAGGGACGTTAAACAATATACAATCAATCAATCAATCTTTTATCCTTCGTGTAAATGGAAACAGATCACAGAGTATTTAAAGTAATAATATAGTACAGCGGATTTCAAAGTAAATTTTCTAGTACAAGTAAAAAGAAAATGTTAACTACTACCCATAATACAGTTTGTATGACAACATATATCAAAATAAAGTTGCGTTTTACCATGTAAGAAGAATTAAATTGATACTTTTTAAAGTGAATAAATAAGAATGTTTCTCATCTAATTGCAGGATTTTGAAGCATTTCTTCATACCTTAAGCATATAATTAATTGTCAGTTTAAGCCATAAGATACCGTGTACTTTTAAAAGCAGGCTTCATTTTTAGCGGCTATGACATGGATAGTTCAATGCGCTAATTTTTGAGTACCGTAAAGAAAATCATAACTAAATGTAAAACGGTTCCTGTCATGTTTCACGCTATTTCATGATAACACCAATTGCAACCACTCAATATCCAGTGATTCTGCTAAATTGTTCAGTTATGTACAATTTTATTTGGAAAAAATCTGTCATCAGTGAAAAAAAAATTCCCCCTCGTTATTTCAACTGGCATACAATGAAATTTAATACAGAAGTAGCCATAATTTCATATGATCTTTTATTATTCCCCTACCGGTGAAATCGGAAAAGGAATATTTAGGTTTCCTTTGAGTCTGTCCATCCGTCCTTCCGTCTGCCCATCCGTCCATCTGTCATATGTCTGTCTGTCAGTCTGTCCAACTTGGTTTTCCGAACTTTTGTCTAAACGCTTGCAGATATTGAGCTGATTTTTGGTGTGTGAGTATATCTTGATGAGTTACACATCAAGTTTGAATGCCATTCCGCTTCTCAATGATTTTTTTTACGGAATTACGACCTTTTCAATTTTTCAGGGTTTTCCACACTTTCTTTCTAAACTTTCGCGTATATTGAGCTGATTTTTAGTAGACTTTTAGAGACTTTACCTTGATTAGTTCTAGATCAAGTTTGCATTTCCTTCCGCTTCATTGATTTTTTAGGGTTTGTGACGGACTAAATTAATGTCCCGATGCACTAAATTAATGTTCTAAACGAGATTGTCATGATTTAAATCTTCCGCTGGATAGCTTTATAGGAACAAATATAGATCAAGTTGGATGTTTTGGTACGAAATTATTTTAACCACGTAAAATAAGCTGTTCTGATCAAAGCATACATGTGTGTCAAATGGCATTCAAAGACGTCGTCTTTCTTTTTAAGAGAGATGTTCTGAATTCCAAGACATTTCAATCAAAAACAAGTAATAACCGAAAGGTCCATATTTTGGTGGCGATTTTTCATACACAGGGTCTAATAAAATGACATCCTAAAGAGAAAATGGGATCCCGGGAAGGGACATGCATTGCTTATGCAATACTAGTACTCTCAGAATTCTTGTTCAGTTTGTTAAGAATTTAATGTCTTATAACTGTTACAGTAGGGTTTCTATGATTTCTGTAATGACAAATCTGTGGATATATTCAAGAACCACGGTTATTTTTGCATAAAATAATTTGAAGAAAAAGATTGAAACAATTATACACTTAGAAACAGGATTCGATGTATTTCTGTCTCATGTTGAATAATAATTAAGTTGATCAAGATGATTTTGATATTATAAAGTTGGTCACCTTTATTTTCAGCTTTTTCTTTGCATATATATGGAAAAACTTTACCTGAGGAACTTTGTCTGAGGACAAGATATTAGATTTGCTTTGTCTTCCATTATTCTAACATGTTTCATAACTGCTTTTTCAAAGTTTAAACTTACATTCCCTGGCATCAGGGAACTTTGTAAGATTCACCTCTGCCGTCCAAGATACCAGGTTAGACGTGCCATTCATTATTTCATAATTGAATGTCAAGGATAAAATTTCTTCATCTATTGGTGTAATAGTGAGAATAGATTTGGTGTCATTTCCATTGGCACACGCTCCCATGACTGTGACATCACTGCTTTCTGGAATATCCACAATTACACTGGCCTTTAATGAAAAGAGATATCTTATTTCATATAAAGATTATGATGTATTAATTTCTAAGCTGCATTCTTTCAATGACTCAAACTAAATAACACTTATGCTGTAAAGCTTATACATTCTTTCATCCCTTCTTTTTTTTGTAAAGGCTTTTTCTGTTAGTAAAGTAAAAAAAACATATGACTTGTATATTTTCATACAATACTCAAACATTAAAAATACCCTTTTGCTGTCACAAGGATCCCCTTTCAAGTCTTTTATTGCTAGTCATGAGGATGAGTTACATCTGACCAAAACTTTACTTCCTCCCTAAATTTTACACATGTTATGACAAGATTATCTTCCTTGGAAAAGGAGAGTGGTATGTACAGATGTGAAACAATGTTTCATAATGAAGCTGAACATACTGCATCAAATGTTATACTCATACACCAACGTTAACTGGTAAATGTGGCCAGTGATAGGTGAATTAAAATTTGTTTTTGTTTAACTGTCAGATCACACAACAAAATCTTACAGTTCCATTTTCCTTTGTTGTATAAGTCACTTCTAGCTGGAATCGTCCCTCCATGATGAGACAGGCTTTTGAGTTCTCCTTGACTTCGTATGAGGATTTTAGAGGGGAAGTCGTGGGGGTCACTGTTATTGGTGCAGTGGTGGGGCCCTCGGTCGTGACGTTAGATGTCCAACCTGTTAACGGTGTCATTTCTGTTGGTTCTCTCGTGACATTTTGACCCATTGTAGTCATCTGATCAGGACTATATAAAAACACTGAAATAATGTAAAGTTGATAATATATATATTTTTTAAATCAACAACCAGACCAGAATGATTAAAATAATAAGGAATGACCATTTTATTTAATGCAAACGAGGCGGTAATTTTTTTCTAGTTTGATTTTTTTCATGCCAGCCAAGATCAAATTTAATTTCAAGATAATCAAGGCAAAGCATTTTTTCATCTGCAAAAAATATGACTGAAAAATTGCCGACTCTGCGATTAATACCAATTAATCTATCCAATACACTGAAAAAATGATTGAAAAGCTAAGAACAGACAAAAATTAAATATAAATTTTAAAAAATCTTTACGAAGGGAAGGGGTTAACACCAATCAAAGACAGTTTACCTATATATACACAGTTGAGAACGTAATATCACCAAATTTGCCAGCCCCAACCTTCAGAATCAAATGGTCGCTCCTTAATCAAAGAAGAATTGTTTGCTTCTTAGTTTCATATACAAATATATGCACAAATAAAATGTCCTGATTTTACTTCCCCTTATAAAGTTGAATTTTCAGCGAGGGAGCTGAGATCGCTAAAATTAGATATCGTTAAAAATAATTGCGTTATATTTGTAATAGCTTCTTTAGCTATCATTTTGAAGTAGTTAAAATTACATCTCGCTAAAATACCATATTTTCTCGGGTAAATCGCTGAATTTGCTTCTCGCTAATTTCCACTGTACGGTATTCTATTGATAAACTATAATTCATAAGGATCTTTACTTAAATTAAAATATAATTGAAGGAAATTTGGGTCTCAATTTTTTTAACTAAGCCTGAACTGCAAATGCAATTTATTAATAAATTGAAAAAATTCTGAAATATTAGAGATGGGATCAGATTACATGGAGAAGTGCCTGAGCATTCTCTCCAAACCGTATCACCCAATTTGTCATTCTCGCGAAATAACGGAAAAACCCAGACAATCAGTGAAAATAATAGCCTAACAAAAAGTACAAAAACGTAAGCCAGCATTTGACGTAATGATACATGAAGTTTCTATTTGTTGAACAATATAAATATTGTCAATCAGGAATTCAAGCATTTTTAATTTCAATGTGCATGAACAATTCAAAAAATTTAATTAAAAAAATTTGCAAATAACCAAATGACAAGGTAATTAATCCATTTTTATTGAAAAAGCAGCTGGAATCTTAATTATAGGCGTAATTTAACAATTTTCGCTAAGGAAATGAAAATTATCATTATACCCCCCGCTTGAAAAGTGGGGGTATATAGAAATCGGTATTTCCGTCCGTCTGTACGTCCTTCCGTCCGTCCGTCTGTCCGTTCGTCTGTTACGCTTTTCCTCTTATCCGCAACTCCTCTTATACTACTGAGTGAAATTCAATGAAACTTTCACAGAATCTTTATTACATATTGCCATTGTGCACCTCCTATTTTACTTTTTTATTCGACACATATTTTAGGTTCCCTATAGCAAAACATGGACATTGTCATTATATGTTTACCTGTGACGTCACGTATAGAAGCTTCTGGATAACATTTATAGGACGAGTTATTTAAGCATTGAATTCATATTTTGGGATGTCTTCGGTCCTATAACACACCTGGCCGTTCCGACAAATTAACGCGCGGTATGATAATTTGTCGGCACGGCCAGGTGTGTTATAGGACCGAAGACATCCCAAAATATGAATTCAATACTTATATTTACATTCTTTAATTTTTCCTCTACAAAATTGTTTATTTTGGTAATCTTTGAGGTAAATTTAGCACCCTTAAAACTGGTGTGCTTTATAGACGTAAGAGCCGTTTGTGACGTCATAAAGTTAAATAACGCAAACGAACATTGCGAGGAAAAAAGTGACAAATTAATTTTAAATGCAAATTTGTTGTATTTTTACGTTAATTCAACAGGGTTAATTTTTAAAAATTAAATTGTGTCAAACAATGTACATTTTGGTGTTCATAAAGTATTGAAAATGCATATAGTTCCTACTGTGTATTGTCACGCGCGGTGACAAGGTTTCACGTGTGTTATAGAGATTTGAACGTCGTGGATTTCTAATGGATTTCATAAAGAAAATTACACTGAATGTAAATATTCCTTTTAACACATTACCGTAAAACAATATATAGCAACACATGGACATTATGGGAAGCGGGGGTATCATTTGGTGAGCTCATTGCTCACAGTACCTCTAGTTGAATGTCATACTATTTTAAAACAACTCGGATAAATTCTAGCGAGCAATGTAACTTTTTTACTATTCATTCCCTCTTTGATGTAGATAAACAATATTAAAAACAATTTATTACATTCATGTGCGCCAGTTACGTATTTCACGGCTTCATTTTTATTAGACTTATTTCAAAGAATTAACATTTTGAAAATCACGACACAAATAATCTATTTTATATAAAAATTCGACATATAATTTAGATTTTGATTCTGATTTCACTAATTTAAATTTGATTTAATGTTTTACACAATACCAAAGACATGACATAATTGCAAATGTAATATTATATATATATGCGTAAATTTATTCCGGATTTTGTTTGTGTGCCGGCAGAGCATATGGGGCTTCATATTAACTGTCATACTATTATTAATATGAAAAATATATACATCCAAGCAATCACTATTTCAAGGAACATTGCACTACATTATGTCAATGCATGAAAAAAGAAATGAAAATCTAAAAAAATATCGTCTGTTTAAATGTGTTTCATATTTACCACTTATGAGAATCGCTCCGAATAATCTCGCCCCCATTTTATTTTTATCTTGTACTTTATCTATCGCCGACTTGTACCCCTATTCAGTGGTGGATCCAGAAAAGTGAAAAAGGTTGACCTTCATCACTCATTAGTGATGGATCCAGGAAATTGGAAAGGTAGTACCAGTTCCCTTTTGCAGTGGTGGATAAAGGAAAGAGAAAAGGGTACTAGTAGTAAAATTTAAAAGAAAATAGGTAAAACGTATTAAAGGACATTGTAATGACTTTACTCCCCATATGCACTTCATGTATAATTGTTATCATCTTATGCTCTATTATAAATCAGTAATGTTTGAAGGATCTTTTCACAATTTCAATTTGTAATGTTAATAAATAACATTTTCATTATTTTCCCTCTCCTGGTGTTATCTTTTAAATTTACAAATACAATTATTTCAGAGTTAAAATAATCGAATAAAAACATTTTGCATACAAGCTTGATTCAGCATTATATGAATCGAAAAAAAAATTTGAAAGTAAGACAGTAATTGATTCTCATTTTATGACACTGTTTTCGACTACGTACTGCTAACGATTAAATTGCAAGCAGAGTTTCACAGTATCTTAAAGGTTTCAAAGCAAACCGATTCACATTCTTCTTAATTTATATATGTGTACTTGTCTGTATAGTTAGAGTATCCTTACGTTGAAATTTCAAATCTTTCTGCGGGGACATGGAGACCGATGCTTCGGAAGAGACCGTTTAAATCGAAATCCCGCGTAGCAATAGGTGTTGGGACAAAAAAAGATCTCTAACTGCTAAACGGACCCTAGTGCCGTCTATAGGTCTAACTTTGCATCCTTCCACCAGCAAGTGGTAGCTCTTAAATATAAAAGAAAAGAAATCCCGAAGGAACCTATAAGATTAATTTTTACTTTGGATTCAATTTTTGAATTTTATAAATTACGAAAGGATCTGTGAATGCTGAAATTAAGTATTCCTTATTAGTTGATATAGCCATCCTCTTGATATCATGGAACATAAAGAGATAAAGAAAATTATTCAAGATCAAAAGTCTATAATTAAATACATTATAGGAGCAGAGCAAACACGGACCTCCAAAACATCAGAGGTGGGATCGAGTGCCATGGAAAAGTGAATATAAAACAGATAAATCAGAATGGTATATTTTATCTCAAACTCATCGGGATATACTGTATCGACATAAGAATTGAAATAACCTTTGTTTTTTGACATCTTAATGTTGAATTGAAGGCAACGGCAATTGTTTTCTTTTTTTCATGTACATGTACAAGATTTTAAACGAGTTCTACTTTACACGAACACAAAAATAGGTCTGCTAATAATGGTGCGCAATTGGTACACAAGGGAATTCTAATGTATTGTTGGAGGACCTGGTCTCCTAAAACAATATAGAAATTGTCAATCAGAAACTCATATGCATGCGTCTTTTTGATGTCACTTTCAGAAGACTTTAATGTACAATCAGGATGTTTTTTAATACTTTACAA